TCCCCTCTGGATTTATTCCATAATTTTGTGATTAATTTTTGATTAGTTTTGATTAGATGACTTTAGGTTGTATAGATTTAGGTCAATCCTTAACATAGGTCCACAATAACACTAGAATCTTGGGTTTCTAGGTCAAGATAGATATTGGGACATATAGGGTATTAAGGGTAGTCATGTAGGATCCCCTAGAAATTATCTTAGAGTTTAATATAGTAGTATACTATTTTTAATTGATTTTTTTAGTTGATTGTTGTTTGTGTAGCCCTTGTGGGCTTGTATTTTGTTTTGCCTTGCTTTGTGGGTTTTTGCTTGGCTTGGTGGGCTTGGTCTTGCTTTGTGGAGCATGGAGGAGCATAATGGAAGACTTGAAGATTGAAGAAGGAGCTTGAGAGCTTGAGGACTTGTTTGTTTTGTTGTTGTTTTAGGGTTAGGAATTATGTAGAGCTTAGACTTAGTTGATTCCTTTCTTAAACATGGATGGTATCTGTCACCTCCATTCTTCCCCATGATTCAAGGTCCTCCCATGGTATTCACCTCCCTCCTTTGGAGGGATAAGTGATAGTACCTAGGAAGTAGAACTTTTGAGGGAACCATTCTTTTGATGTTGAACCCTTATAGGTCATCTTTGGTGGTCAATAAGCAGTTTAATATCCTAGCTTATCCAGTTAAGTGATTTCTCCTGATTTGAGTATCTTGAGAGATGTTGGGATTGAGTGTGAAGATGAAGACTTCATTGAAGAAGTATGGAAGAGGATGATTCCCTGAGCATTGCCATTTCAGCTGAAGCTTGAAGAGCAAGAAGAGCAAGTTGATACTTGAAGACCCAATGAAGATCCAGTAAAGACTGACTGTAAAGCTGAGGCTTGAAGAACAAAGGATAAGTTGATACTTACTTTGAGGCTTGGAGATCCTGAAGGAATCAAGTTGATACTTGTGGTTAAGAGTGAAGCCTGAAGGTGGAGCTGATTAAGAAGCTGAAGCTTGAAGAAGAAGAAGAATAAGTTGAAACTTATGTGGAAGGGTTGAAACCTTGGAAGCAAATTGATATTGGTCAAGAGTGATTGAAGTCTGAAGACTGAGTTGCTGTCAGAAGAGCTGAAGCTTGAGAGAGAGGGGTTGATCTGGTTTCTTCTTTGTTTCTTTTCTGTATTGATGTGCCTTGTTTGACTTGCTTGATGCATTAGAATAAGTTCATATCTAGACTTTAATCTAGGAGCATGATTGCACTAGAGGTTGAGTTGCTCCCTCTGCTTGTATTGTTACTGTATGGCTTTGCTTGCGGGTATTCGGTAGAGCCCTGCTCCCTTGCCCATGTGGTTTATTTTGCTTGATAGCATGGTGTTTTATTTTTCTTCTGTATGATTGCAGTTTACTGTTTTTGCTTGATAGCATGTTTTATTTTCCTCAGTATGATTACTGTTATTCATTCCGGCTTGAGGTTGAGATGAGCTTGTGGAGGTTGACACCCCACACACATTTCCTCCCTCACTTGCATTGCATGCATTTTACAGTCGTTTACTGTATTACTATTTACTGTTTAAGCTGATGCTTTATCTGTTTCTGTGTATCATTGACATGATCCCTTAGGACTCTCATTCCCTTTGATAAGGAAGTGATGATAGAACTTTAGGTTGAAACCTATGCATGATAACTTATAGGAGTTCCCTGTTCAAACCTCAACCACAGGATGAATCCTTGGCATGACAACAGTAGGACTTGATAGTCTTCCCCTAGTTGAGCCTGTTCTCTTCTCATCTTCAAAACAGCTTAAGATACAGTAATCATGAATGATTTCTTTCGTACGTTACGAGCCTTAAGCTATCTGAGAAAGGATTGTTGGAGAGTTTCTTTTCAACAGTCTGGATGTTTAGTATGGCACCCTTTGGGTGACATGCGACGCATTCACTCACAGGTCATAGTCTTTAGTGCGATTAAAATTGCAAACACAATAAAAAATACTTCTTCCGTAAAAGACAGAAAACAAACTTCAAACCTTTTTGCCTCGTGGGCCCATAATTCAAGGAAAGCTTTTCTGAAGAAAAGAGTGTCGTTAAACTTCAGCGCCAACGCAAACAGGCTTTGTCCCTAACTGCTGGAACTGCTGTTTAACCCTACTCGGTAAAACAGATGAATCTGAATTCCCGTAAACCGTAGTATCCCGAACTACGTAAGCTCTGATCTCTCATGCCTGTTGAGAGTACGTAGGCACAATACTGATGTATTGGCGAGCCACCTTCCCCATAACCCGTAGTAGGTCGAACTACGTTGACTCTGATTTCTCATTCTCTGATGAGAATACGTATGCATAAAGCGCGACGCTTTGCCGAGTCATTTTCTTTTCTGTTTAAGCCAGGCTTGATAGGTAGATAGATAAACCAACTCGTCCAGTAAACACAAAAAGCGTGGATCCCGTCGAGTACGACGGACGTGAGGGGTGCTAATACCTTCCCCTTGCGTAACCGACTCCCGAACCCAGACAATGGTTGCGATGACCTTGTCTTATACTTTTCGTCAGGTTTTTCCGATCGTTTCCTTTCCCGCTCCGAGGGATAAATAACGAAAGATGGCGACTCTTCTGTTTTTTCGGCACCTTATTTTCGCAGAAGCGACACTATGCTGACGAAACAGACGAGAAGGAAAAACATCTCGACAGGAATACCCGATGACCTCTGCAATAGTATATCTATTAGAGGATAGGAAGAGTTGGTGGTAGAACTGAATCTGGCCTCAAAGTTCTAACTTCCTAGGGAGAAAATAATCCACTTGGGGGGATACGTCATCCTGACTTCCTTATGGGGACACGATACGACTTCACCTGGAGAGTATGATGTCTTGGCTTCAACTGGGGATCCCTGACCTCTGCATGGGGGTACGATGTCATGACTTCACGTGAGGGATTGCTATCATGAACCATAATCAGCCAAAGAACACCTTAGGATCGAAGACTTCCAGGGATAAACTAAATATTTGCTTCGTGGGGAAGACGAGGAGCTAGGAAGCTTCATGGAGAAAAGCGTAGCAACTTTCTGGGGATAGTGCATCGACTTCCTGTGGAGAAGGTACATCCAACTGGGGATAAAAGATATCAAAACTTCCCTGAGGAGAATTCATCGAACTTACTGGGGAGAAATCAACAGACATTCCTGAGGAAAGTATCCTGACTTCTTGGGGAGAATTTCCTGAGGAAAGTAAGCAATTTCACTGAGGAACAGATAATTCCACTGAGGATGGGGCTTCCAGAACATATATCACTTGGAGGATACCGAGGATATCTCTGCAGCCTTGAGAGTCACTGGGGATAGCCGGATCCGTCCAGAAGGGTGGTCAGCTTAAAGTCTCGCTGGGGACTGTGTCGGCTTAAAGTCTCTCTGGGGACTGTGTTGAGGCAATGGTTAAGACGTAGATTCTGCAACGATGAGATTTACTGGGGAATGAAGACCGCTGGGAGTAAAATCCCTCAGGTGCATGAAGAATGTTGTAGAGCGAAGCTAATTTTGATCTCAATGGACTTTGTAGTAGTCGCCATTTTGAAAAAATATCATGCCCCAGAGTACCTGCTTTGTGAGAAAGTCATCTCGAGAGGATTTTACAGAGAAACATGGAGTCCAGATTGCCCCACTATTTTCAAACTCTTGGAGAGATTTGGTCAGATCTCGACGTAACTGGCACGGATCAACCGTGTTACGAATGAGTCTACAAGAATAGCTCTTAAGTACGTCTGGCTCGCATTAGTACACGACTTGGAAACCACCTTCCCCTGTTTAGCAGGATCTTCGAGTTCCATTGTCAATGTATGTATGTAATTTTCTAAGATGTTAGGCAAAATCGGCACGCGTGAAATGCTATCCTGAAACTATCAATGCAACAATGTTTGTCTTGAAAATTTGTGCTTTTATTTTGAAAAAGGATATCACAATAACTCGTGACCGAAATCACAGCAATTCCTGCGATATTTCCAGAGAACTTTGTGGTTTTAAACGATAATTAGTTCCTGCGAAAATTATCGCAGTTAAATCCATAGGAAATTTATATTTTATTTTAAAATCTAAAATCGCAGAAAATTCTCTAGAATTTCTGCGAAATTTGCTGCTACTATAATTTTCGCAGGAAATAATGTCTTACAATATAAAGGTGCAGGTCAAATCGCAGGTATAGCTGCGGAAGACTTTTCGCAGGAAATTTCGTAGGTAATCTGTGTGTTTCTAATAGTGAAAGGAAAGATACTAGATTCAACAACCAAGATAAAAAAATTAAAGTGAAAAGTGACGTAGAATGAATGAAGTAGAACAAGACATCTGAAAAGAAGTGAGAAAAAAAATTAAAGTGAAAAGTGACGTAGAATGAATGAAGTAGAACAAGACATCTGAAAAGAAGTGAGAAGTGAGAAAATGAGAGAGAACACAAATGAGAAGTGAAGGGAAGAAAGATGAAAAACCTTTATGTTCTCTCTGTTCTAAAATAATTGTTATAATTAGTCATTCCCAAGGATTAAAAATTTATAATAAACAAAAGAAAGAAAAAAATATTTTTAACAAACTATTATTATTTATTATTGATGTATTCGAATTATTATAAATAGAGTAGATAATAATAAATTAAAAATATTAATAAGATAATATAATTGAACTTGAAAACTAAATTTCTACATTTTATTTGTTCCACAAACATTTTATCTATTTAATTTTAGTGGCATCATTTCACACGACCGCATTAAATATAGTGGCATTTGATGCATGTCCGTTACCCTTGTTCTAGAACCATTATTGCCACATTTGCTCCTTTGAGTGGTTTCAATAATGGATCAATAATCATAAGTGTGAAGAATTACTTCAAAAATAATATTTGAAAGAAAACAAATATATTATTCCCAACCATACATTAAGAATTTGGCAAGCATATCCTACCCACACATTATCTTTAAATACATCTTGAATCTTTCTATTAACTCACCATACCAAAAAAGAACACTATCCTATCTCTTTATTCTCACATTCTCAAATATGAAGGACACTATAGTTCTTTATCCGGCTCTTGAAAGTGGTCACTTAATGTCTATGGTTGAATTAGGTAAATTCATATTAACACAAAATCCTTCATTTTCTATCACAATTCTTATTCTTACACCACCCAACAACAAACACACACCCCTTTCTCCACAAGAACAATACATAGCTTCGGTTAAAGCCGCATTTTCATCTATCCATTTTCATTACATTCCTCCTATTTCATTCACAGCAACACTTCCAGCACACTTAGAAACCATTGATCTCTCACACCAAAGCAATGATCATGTTCACAATATTCTCCATTCCATATCCAAAACCATAAACCTTAAAGCTGTTATATTAGATTTCATCACCTATAGTGCCTATCAAATCACCACCAAACTTGAAATCCCTACTTATTTTTACTTCACTTCAAATGCAACTGCTCTTTTCACTTTACTTTACTTTCCAACTATTCACCAAAAAGCTACAAAATCTATAAAGGATCTTCATATGCCTCTTGAATTTCCCGGGTTGCCAAAGAATCTTTCAACGGATGATTACCCTGATGAGGTTAATGATTCTCAGAGTAAAGAGTACAAAGTTTTGCTTGATTCGGCGAAAACAATGAGAGAATGTGTTGGGATTATTGTAAATACTTTTGATGCTATTGAAGGAAAAGTTATTAGAACTTTAAACGAAGGGTTGTATTTTCTTGATGGAACTACTCCGTCTATTTTCAGTGTTGGACCTTTGATTACATCTTCTTATGGAGGAGATGAAAATGGATGTTTGAGTTGGCTCGACTCGCAACCGAGTCAAAGTGTTGTGTTTTTGAGCTTTGGAAGCATGGGAAGATTTTCCAAGTCTCAATTGAATGAGATAGCTATTGGATTGGAGAAAAGTGAACAAAGATTCTTGTGGGTTGTAAGAAGTGAGTTGGATTCAGATAATTTGAATTTGGATGAGTTATTGCCTGAAGGATTTTTGGAGAGGACAAAGGAAAAAGGAACGGTGGTGCGAAATTGGGCTCCACAAGGTGCAATACTGAGCCATGACTCGATTGGTGGATTTGTGACTCATTGTGGATGGAACTCGGTGTTGGAAGCTATTTCCGAAAGCGTGCCAATGATTGCATGGCCTTTGTACGCCGAACAAAGATTAAATAGATTGATTTTGGTCGAAGAAATGAAGGTGGCTTTGAAGGTGACCCGATTAGAAGACAAGTTTGTGACCGCAACAGAATTGGGGGAGCGAATTAAGGAATTGATGGAATCAAACAAAGGGAAAGAGATTAGAGAGAGGATTTTGAAAATAAAAGCAAGTGCTAAAGAAGCAAGAGAAGGAGGTGGATCTTCTCTGGCTAATTTGAAAAAATTGGGAGATTTATGGAGGGAGCATGCTTCTTCGAATAATCTATCTCCGAATTCTCCTTTCATTTTTCGTTGAAAATTCGAAACGGTAGAATATTTGTAGCTCAATTATAAAATGTTAATATTGTTAGATCGGACATTATAACTTGCATTTGAATGTGAAATTTTACCAATAAATCATATGTGAGTTTGTAGTTCATCCACATAAGAAATCTTTAGAAATAAAATTTGAATGTACGTTGTGTCTAAAACCAATAAATAGAAGTTTTAAAAGTGTGTAATGTAATGAGGAGTAAATTAAATTAGTGTGATGGATATTTTTTATGTAATGAAAAATGATGTTCATACATCAAATGTTGTATCTTTTGTACAATATAGTTTGGTTGTTTTTTTATTTTTGATATAATACTCAGGCGGTTTTATATATAATATGTTGATTTTAATTTTTTATCATTGTACTACACAATAAATTTAAATCAAATAGATTATATATAATCACCGCATCATACATAGTATACTATACTGTCTATACATATTTCAATAACGCAGTTACATTAGAGTAGTTGGAGTATCTTAAATGGATAAATTAAGATATTTTTTGTGGGCGCAAACTGATTTGTAGGATTTAAAAATTTTATAGTTGTTTTTACTTTAATGATAGTTGCTTATAAAAAACTAAAACTTGATCCTATATTTTATATTTTTTAATTGTAATTATTTTTTATTGAAGTTACCATTGATTTAATTATTTTAAATAAAATACATAAAATATTCATTACAAATTTTTTGTGGGTCCAAATTATATAGCATACGTTAGCTATATAATTGCCAAAAACTAAAAGTTAGTGAATTAAATGTCATCTCATAGTCATTCCAATGTAAATTTTTTATAATCATCGTTAATTATAAAAAATTTAACTATTAAAAATCTGGATTAAAGATGCTCTTAGCAGAGACTCTAAAGTTCAATTTTCTATTCTTTCCCTTTTTTTTTTTTTAATTTCTTAACTAAGTCAAATTCCTTTCTTTCATTGAAAAGATGATGCTCTTTTTATCATTTAAATATTATTATTTAAAATAATATTTTGGTGTCTATAAAAATGAAGTACATCCTAGCTCATTTCAAATGTACTCAAATACGCATAACAAGAAAAGAGGTGATGTGTGAAAGTAGGGTTGTGATGGTTCAATAACATTAACAACTAGTTCAACTTTTTATATCAGAATACACAAAATTAACACAGTTTAAGTTATTCAAGATGATGGAGCATAAAATCAATAAATAATACAAAAATTGGTAATCCAGTTTAGTGAAACCACGCCTATGTCTGGAGGATTGACTTTCAACCCAATAAAGAAAATTTACTATTAGTAGTTTAATACAATCGGTCTTATAAGAACCAACAAACTCTATGTTGTTCAATTACTCTTCTTTACACTATCCAATAACTTTCTATTTAGGACTCTCCAAAATATGAGTTTCCCTCTCATTTTCTCTCAATCACTAAACCCTAGTGATCAACTTCAATTAATAATGTAGAATGTTGATTTATAACTCAACTAGACAAATCTGCAACAATGTCAAATTACGGAAACATAGTGTGATGTACATACAACAATAACAAGGACTCAAATAAACTCCAACACTCTAAAATCTTCAATGTATTGTTTATCTTCCAATTTAGGTTTTGAGCTCCTTATATAGAAAAGGTATTATGGGCTTTTCTCCTTATATAGCAAACTTGGACACTTCTCTATATTCTTGTTTTGAAAACGCATCTAATCTAAAAAGAACAACAATTATGATCTACAAAAATAAGAAAGATTTTATAGGATATGAAACATAATTGATTATAAGGCTTTCTCATTCAATTTTTGGACGATTTCTATCCATATTTGATTCTTTAATTTCCATAATAGTTATAGGTTAAATTTTTCTATATAATCGATTATACTTAGTTTTTTAGAGATTTCCCAAACCAAGGTGTTTTTAAAGACATGGTGTAACCAAATAAAGTTTAAAATTTTGTGTGTGTATGTGTGGTGTGGTGTGTGTGTGTGTATATCCGTGTATGTGTGTGTGTGGTGTGGTGTGTGTGGGGGCGTGGTGTGGGGTGTGTGTGTGTGTTTGTTATTACTTTTTGAATTTAATAGTGAAACACTTAATATTACTTTTTTGATCCTATAGAAACAAATAAACAACAAATATTAAGGATCACAAATGATCATTTTGTAGATAGTATAGTATCTTGTTAATGTTCTTTAGGATTTTATTCTGTAGCATCAATCATCAATAAACTTCTTACTTTTTAATTAGTTCCAAACTCTCTTATTTGTTTTTTAATGCTTTTGAAATTTTCTTTGATCTTTTTGTCATCATCAAAAACTTGTTATACCTATTCAGCACAAAGAACCACAGTCTCCTTGATTTGATGATAACAATGTATCTCTCAGGAAGTTGGCTTAGAAAAAAGGTTAAGAAGAAAATAAAGTTTGAGAACATACTTCCACCTCTTTAGCATAATAAAAAGATGGAAAACATGGAGTCACATACATATCACATAGAATACATACATAACAAGAAGAAACACATATAACTGTTTAATTAATGCATGAATGATTTAATATTCCTAATGTAACACGTTCTTACTATCAAAACATAATGATAGATTATTCAGTATGACTGATCAGAATACAATTACTTCACCAACAAACATCAGATTTCGAAGTAGAACGAATATTGATCATTCAAATGAATGACAATCATTACACTAATCAAATGGAATAACTAAAACAATATATCAAATACACTAACTTTGTATGAGAATTATTAAATTATATATAAATTGATCAATCATATTTGTATCACTTATGGATGATCGAAATATTGTTACTTCACCATACAAATATTGGATTCTGAAGCATAGTTAAAATCAAACATTCAAATTATGCAAAACATGTATATGATATATGGTTTTGCATGTGGCTCTGTAATTACCTAAAACAGAAAAATATATGATATATGGTTTTGTAAGGGGCTCTGAAACTACTTAAAGAAAATCTCTACATAAAAACGCAGCGGAAAATAAAAATTTCTCCTAGTCGATCCTTATGAATTAACATAACCACATATAGATTGGTTATCTCAAACATGAAGAATACTATAATTCTATATCCTACTCTTGGTAGTGGATATTTAATGTCTATGGTTGAATTTGGTATAATCATATTAACAGAAAACCTTCATTTTCCATCGCAACTCTCATTCTTACACCACCAAATAGAAAACGCACACTGTTTCTCAATAAGAACAATGCATAACATTTGTTTCAACCACATTTCCTTCCATCAACTTCCAACATACTTACACACCCTTGAACTCATAGGATAAAGTAACCATCATGTTAACAATTTTTCCAATACATATCTAAAACCATAAACTTGAAAGTTGTTGTAATACCACGTATTTAATAAAATGCTATAAATAATATTAGTTGAGATCAACTAGGTTCCGGTGTGCTCTGACTGAGAGTTATCTGTTGAGATAATTAGAGTAGCTGAAGAGCTCAAAGTTAATTTAATTAATATTATCTGACTCTGAGATTTTAATAATCGGTACTTTAGAGAAATTTTGGATACCCTCAATTTTGGACATTTAACCAAGTTAGTCTTACTAACTTTAATGATATTTTTCCTTATGTAATTTATTTCCCTTTTCTTTTCATTTTGGCAACATAGAGAGAAAAATAGTACAAAGTTAGAGAGAAGGAGGAGAAAGAAGAGAAAGAAGAAAAAGGAAAACCCTAGAAGAAGAAGCTTGGAAACTTCATAATTTCTTCATCAAATCATCTCATCTTCACCATCAACAACTTCTTCATCTTGTATTAAAGGTGGGCTCTATGTAGAGACTCAAGGTTAGAGTATTTAGATTGAATGAGAAAAGTTAGGTTAGTATTTGTTCCATTGCTATGAAAGTTATATGATTCATGTCTTATTTATGATATGGAAGCCATTCTAGTGTTGTGGTTGTGTTTGATTTGCCCTACATGAGTCTTATGAGGAGTGGGATTTGAAACCCCTTTTTTCTTGAACTCTTCATACTGGTAAGAGGTTCTGGAACGCAGGGTCTGCACTGCGGATGTAGGCGAATGACTAGCGAACATGACAGTCTATCATGCTCGCACTACGAGTATGAGCAAAGCTGAAGGTGAAAGTTCGCCCAGAGTTTGCAATGTGATCAGAGGGGATTTTCTCCATTGCCATAATTATTTCCTGGTTCGCCCATAGTTCGTACTGCAAACTCAAAGCGAAGAAGCTCACTTTGACTTTGCATTGCGAACATAGCAGTGTTTTTCCCCTTTTGTTTTCTTACTTCTTAGTTGTCTTCCATGCATGAATATTGTTACTACACCTTGTTTACCTTTATTATTATGAATGATATGTATGTGTAATTGTGGGTTGGTGAATTGGTTGAAATAATGGTTGCATGATTAAAAATAATTAAGAAAAGTGAGGGAAAACTTATCATAATCCAATGGAATGACCTAGAGACGTAACTAGGAGTTGATAATGACAATGATTGTGCATTTGATGCCTAGGTGTACATACTTGACAAGTAATTGTCATTTTAAGATTTGAGACATTATATGGAACATGTGTGGTTTTGTGTTACCATGATAATAAGGCGTATGTCATCTTGTGATTTTCGAATACAATCACGTTTGTGTGTGAGATCGTATAATCGGAAGCAATCTCTTGAGATGTTTCGTTCCAAGAGTTGAGGATTATATAGAGAGCTCCTCCGAAATGTGCGAATTATTCATTAATAAGTATCTGTGACATGTGTTGAGAACTCTTGTGTGGGTTGGCCGGGGAAAGTTACTTATTAGATAGGTATTTGTGACCCGTGTCGAGAACATGTGTTGAAAACATTGAGTTCATTTATCCACCGAGACAAGACATCTTGCGGATGGAATTACATGAAAATCATCTATAAAACCCTATTGAGATCAAGACCTTGTTGTTCCCACAAATCGTTCTTTACTTGTCACTAGTCATTGTAATGGTTACAACTGA